CGGCGTATGCAAAGCGTGAGGCTCCAACCCCGGCTCTGCGCCGTGCACCCGTCGTCCCCGCCGCCGCCCGCGCGGTCCCCAGCGCCAGCTCCGGCCGCACGGCCGCGCACCATTCACCCAGGGGAGAGGCGGGGAACGGGGGGCGGGTGGGGCAGGAAAGGAAAGGCGGCCTCTTTCCAGCCCCCCTTTCCTTTTCCCCCCCTTCCCTGTGGGGCCGAGAGCCGCGCAACCAGGCGGGGTGGGGGACTTGAGCGAGCAATTGGGTTAAGACCTGAGGCGGTGGGGACTAGGCAGGTAAATCTGTCGGAGGCCGGGGATGGAAGAGTGACGACCGGGCCTAGCCCTGGCTGATGTTTTTTGGGGCCCCTGGGGCTATTTTCATTCCAGGTATCAACGCGTCTTTCTGCCAAGAGACCTCAGGGCGGACACCCGCGCGATCGACTTCGACAGCTTCACGAACTGGGTCTCTCTTTCCGGAAGAACAGTATGGGGTGCTTGCTGCTTGTCGGTTCTGGAGAATGCGCCTCTCACTTGGGTACCAGGACATTGCTCTGGAAAGCAGGAAAGCGAGGGCTGTATTTAGGCCCTTTCCCCTTCCCTGTCCACAGTGTTCGAGAGGACAATTTCATGCATTCGCATTTAGGACCATAAGATCAAAACGACCCATCCCAGCCACGCTGACGCGCACACTCGCAGACACACACTCTCACACAGTCTGCTGTTCCTCACTCTGACCCAGTAACAACTCTTCCTCCTCCAGAGATTTTGAGATGGAAAGAGCGATTCCTTTGCACTATTTCCCCAACCCTTTGGCGCCAGCATCTCCAGACCGGCTGGCCCATCCTAGAAAGGGCTTAAGAAGAACAAGCCCCAGCTGGGTCCACTGGGGAGACTCGAGCTCCCTTTCGGGGCCTAACACGACTTCCCAGAGCTTGCGCCCGGAGCTGACTCTCCCTGAACCTGGGCACCCGCTCTCTCTCTCCGCTTAGGAGAAGGGCAAAGGGACTCTTTGGAGCCACTTCATCGCCTTCCTCCCAAGCCGGACTCTATTGAGCACTGTTTCCAGCGGCAGAGGATCCCTGGCCCTCCTGCACCCAAGAACCAGCCCGAAGCACCTTTCCCCCGGGAAATGCGACCTTTCCCTGAGAGCGTGGTGGGGTGGTGGTGCTGGAAGAGCCAAGCACGATCCCGCTTGTAGCCGTCCCATTTCCAGTGAGGGATTCAGGGTCCTGCTGCTTTGAGGCCACATACTTCCATTTCCGATGTCAGCGGCTCTAAGCTGGTCCGATGCCCAGAAGGGGAGCATGCGTTTAAAGTGAAAGTGGGTGCAATCTGAAGGAACATCGAGGTTGGGAAGAGGCGCTGGGCTTCCGTCCACCCCAGGAGGGCTGGTGAGCACCCAGGCTTGGACCTAGCCTCTCGTCTCAGCTTGCAAACTCGGCCCTAAGTTCAGGGCATTAGGCATGCCCGGTATCCCGGGAGCTGCTCTGCAAGGCTTCTGGGCTTCCCGCAGGGACTTGACCAAAGGGTGGGTTCTGGCGTTTATCTGCCCTGATAGCAGGGCTTGCGGGGACCAATGTTAAGTGTTGTCCGTAAAAAGCCTCCCCTCCCCTCCACCACACGCACACGAACACACGCACACGCACACACACAGTGTATGCTTTTCCTCCTGCCTTTTTAGCAGCTCCGGGTAAATATTGATTTGCCCCTAGTTTACCTTCTCGAGGACTAGCCATTTGCAGACTAAGGAACCAGCCTCTGCAGGGACCTGATTTTCATGTTACTTTCTGCCCACTTGCCTCCCTTCCCCCTTTAAGTGGCATTATAAAACTCAGGGTGACAAAGAGACAGAGTAGGGTTCGAGGCCCCAGTTCCTGGGGCCTTAAGGGCTGTTTTACATATGGGTCAGACACGGCTGGAGGCCAAGGTCAAGTTGAAAGTTGCAGTCTAGCCAGTGTGAGAACTGCCATGCAAGCCTGAAGAACCAAGCTGCTTGAGAAAGGCCCGGTGCCCACCTCCCCTCACTCTTGATTCCCTTTTCCTTAGGAATTCTCCTTTTTGGCTCCATTTTGCTACCCAGTGATTTTGCTGCCTTCGTGGACATTTTTGGGGCAGTGTTAACCAGCTCTTCTTCTCTGCCTCCGCCCTGCTCTCAGCTGGGCTTGAAGCCTCTTCTGTTTTCCAGCCAGAGCCGGAAAAACGAAAACACAGCCCGGGAAGCCCCCACCGGCCGGCGTCCATGCCAGCTCACTTCTGGCCAGGGCTCAGCTGCCCGTGCGCTCGGGCCAAGGCCAGCTCTACAGTCCTCCCTCCACTTCCTCACTTCACCGGCGACCGGAGTCCCACATGCAGAGGATGGGCCCCAGCTCCACAGTCTGCCAAAGTTGGCTGGGTCCTTCCTCACCAAAAATGGTGAGACAGAATTGCATCTTTCCGCTGAGGAGCCACGAACAGGTTTGTCTGGGAGGGATGGTGCTGGGGAAAAGCTTTGGGCTGTATCTCGATTTGGGCTTTGCTTCTTAAACTTGGTGGTGCCACCTTCAGAGAAGTGCTTAAAGTCTGCATTATTGAGCTTTGTAGCAGATCTTTAATAATTAAATTATCCAACTGTCTTCTTATTTCCCCATGTCGTCTCACCATTGCTTTTTAAACTCTCAAGACGTAGTTACTTTAAGGAAGGCATCCTCCTTGTTCCCTTTGTGGATCTTGATATATACAAAGTGCTTTTTCTATTAGGCATGTCAATGGTGTCCTGGCTGCCTTCACAGTTTTTAAATATATGCAGATTCTGTTAGCTATTGAGTTGTAGCCAATCAGTGGGGATGATGTGTAGAATATAAGTGAGTTTATTGAATAAATATGATCTGAGTTTCTAGAGTTTCTATCAATTTTGAAGCAAGAAGAATCTATTTCTCTCTGTCTTGTGATGTGTGGAGGGAGATAAGAGATACATTAATGGTTCTCAATAAGGTTTCTCAGACTCCTGGCTGGCCAGGCAACTACCAACCACTTACTGTGGGGAAAAAAAGATCGGAAGGCAATGAAGACTGAAGCGTGCTCTGGTAGCAAGCACAGACCCTCTCAGGGTTCTTCCTCTTCCCCGGCGGCAAGGTGAAGGCTCTGCATTAGAGCCGTTCCTCTGCTTTTTCTGTCTGCCAGGCTCGGGAATTCCTCTGGGATTAGAGGGAGGCACCCATCACCTTGAACCCCAATGATAACAATTTTATCCTCAGGCCCACTTTTGGGCCAGACTTGGAGAGTCAGGGTACCAACTAGGATCTGCCAGTGGCAGCGGCCCCAGGAGCATGTGATCCAACCAGTGGGTATGAGATGGATGCAGTCACTTCTCAGGACCCTGAAAGAGTTCTGAGTGGGCAGCACGGGCAGAATTGGAGGGTGACATCCTTAATGCCCGTGTGGTCTTGTCTTTGCCAGCCCTTTCTCGGGCTCCAAAATGCCTTGGTAGGCATGGCATGGCTCTTAAGTTTTGGGGCAGACTGGGGCACCCAGCAGGGCCTTACTGGCCCTCAACCCTCAAGCCTCAAGTCTCCTGCTACAGAAAGAGACCCTGGGTGGGTTTTCCTGTGCCCAGGAACTTGCCACTTGCCTGGGCTAGGGAGCCCTGGGCTCCCAGGGTAAGAAGGGAAGAGGACAAAGGAGAAACCAGGTTTCAATCAAGTCTGATGTTCATCAGCAAATGAAATTTACCTGCTCTCACTTTAACTGGAAGGAGGCTGTGAGCACTGCTCCCTGGCACTGTTTCTCCACATCCATCCAGCATTAGGATAAACATTCCTTGGTTGGTTTTAAAGACACTTTGTATTTTAGGATATTCATGTGTTTCTAATGTATCCAAGCAGCTTTACAAGCCGCATTTGCAGAACATCTTAACCCTCTCCCTCCTACCACAGGCGGGCTGGAGGTGCAGAGATAATGGCAACAGAAGAGAGAGCCAGAGAAAAGAGCCAGGGCTGAGGCCAGCCAGGAAAGAGAGAAGGGGTAAAACACCCAAATAGAGGAGCACCCCCAGGTCTGCAGTCTACTAGAACATTTGGAAAAGGGGCAAGTGTTGGAAGGGAGATTGCTCTGTCTGCAATGGGCTTTGCAGCATTCCCACCCCAAACCTCATGGAGGGGTTGAAAATGCACCCTTTCTTAAGGGAAAGGATCAGTTCTGAAATCAGGGTGAAAGCTAGCCAATGGACGGGGTGGGGTGATCATGATTTGGAGTCACTTGCTCAAGTTTTCCTTCTAGATTTCTGTGCATTTGAAGCAATAATAAGGCAACAAAAGGCCCTAGAGTGTGAGGTAGTTTTGGACTGTGGGAAATCACTTGGCACTGTGGTGCCCAAATGCTAATTGCAGGAGAGAGTGGG